CCACTTTTACTTTATGCCCCCCCTCTGGATTATTTTAATGAGCATGTATAACTTTTGTAACTTGAAAAGAAGAGAAGGGAAGGAAAGGAATAGGAAGAGAGCTAATTTCTGTGACCTGAGGCAAACCATTCTGCCTCTCTGTACCGCAGGTTACTCATGCATTCTATGGAGAATAGTGAAGGGTTATTATGAGGAATACAGGAGATAATGCATATAAAGCATTTTGCACTTCACTCGGTACAAATTCAGCATCTAGTAAATGTTAGCTCTTACCCCTAGGCAAAGTGCTTAACTCAATATCTGGCATGTAGTAAGTGCTCCAAAAATGGTAAGTAGTCGAACAAACAAGCAAAAAATGGCAGGTATTCGTTCTTTTTTCTTCCAGTTTTACTGAGATGTGATTGACATACAGTAATGTATAAGTTTAAGGTGTACAGCATAATGATTTGAACTTCCATACATCATGAAATGATGACCACAGTAAATTTAGTGACCATCCATCATCTCCTATAGATACAAAATTAAAGAATAGAAAAACATTGTTTCCTTGTGATGAGAACTCTTAGGGTTAATTCTCTTAACTTTCACATACATAGCATACAGCAGTGTTAGTTGTGATTACATCCCTAGTACTGATTTATCTTCGAACTGGAAGTTTGTACCTTTTGACTGCCTTCATCCAGTTCCCCCTTCCAGCGCACCCCCCACCTCTGGTAACCACAATCTGATTTCTTTTTCTATGAGTTTGTTTGTTTTTGAAGTAAAATTGACCTACAACACTGTGTTAGTGCACAGCGTAGGGATTCAGTATTTCTTAAATTTCAAACTGATCACCACAATGAGTCTAATTACCATCTGTCACATACAAAGATATTACATAATTACTGACTATATTCCCTACACTGTGCATTTCATATCCATGACTCACTTATTTTGTAACTGGAAGTTTGTACCTCAATCTCCCTCACCTATTTCTCTCCTCCTCCCACCCCCACTCCAAATGGTAGGTATTCTTACTAACTGTATTTTTAAATTTTATTTTGCTCCTTCTTTTTTATGGCTAGAAGGTTTTCCTTGTATTTTGCTTTGAGCTGTTTGCAGTTGGTTCTTTGTTTTAAAGAAAAGGTACGCCCAAGTTGAAGGACAGTCTTCGAAGTAACTGGCCTAGACTTTTCAAAAGTGTTAATGTCGTGAAAATAAAGGAAGATTGAGAAGCTATTAATGCTAGTTACTTCTGATATTGATCACTGAATATTCATTAATATCTGAAATTATATTAAAATAATTAGTTACTAAATAAATGTAGATAATGTAGAAACACTGTGATCCATCGCTAATAGGATGTAAATTGATATGACTTCCCTGAAGGATACTTTGGCCAAACCTTTCAAAAACAGAAATGCACACACCCCTTGACCCAGAAATTCCACTTCTAAGAAATTATCCTGCAAAGATGCTTCTATTGGAGTAAAATGAAGTGATACAAATAAAACGGTATATTAATTGTATGAGCAAAGTTTAGAAACTCACTGGACCATCAATAATGGGATGCTTAAATAAATTATGATAGACTCATACAGTAGAGTAAAATAGACTTAATAGACTGCTTTAAATATACTTTTCTGGAAGGAATTCCAAGAGAAGGGAAGTTAAGAGAATAAGGCAAAGTATAGAACATTGGGCAGAATGTGCCCCCATTTGTATGTGGGGAAAATGTATGTATGTATGCAAGTATATACATTGATTTTATATGCAACTATTTGTATTTTAAATGTACATATACATATATTTGTATACTTACATATGTCTATATACATACTTTTTTTTTTTTTTTTTGCGGTACGCGGGCCTCTCACTGTTGTGGCCTCTCCCGTTGCGGAGCACAGGCTCTGGACGCGCAGGCTCAGCGGCCATGACTCACGGACCCAGCCGCTCCGCGGCATGTGGGATCTTCCCGGACCGGGGCACGAACCCGCGTCCCCTGCATCGGCAGGCGGACTCTCAACCACTGTGCCACCAGGGAAGCCCTATATACATAGTTTTTAATACATTCATATATGTATGTATTTGTAAATGCATAGAATTGAGAAAACTGTGAGCTCCAGAGAGGAGACTGAGTTACCAGGAGATGGAGGGTGGGTGAGACTTATTTACCTTCGTATATTACCATTTTGTGTTTTTTGTGTTTGGGGCAGTATACAGGTATTACCTATGAAAAAAAACCCCAAAACGAAAGAATATAGAGACAATGCAGAATGTTGGAGAGCCAATCTGAAATCAGTTGGAAGGAGTGAACATTTGTGAACAGCGTGAGTGCAAGCAGATGGAAAGAGAACTGTACTGAACAATTCTCCAAATATAGAAACAGTCTACTGGAGAAAGTCAGACAAACATGGCGTGTCCAAAAATCTGTTTCCAGTTTAAAGCTTATCTTTTTACGGAGTGAGAATTTTCACATGACCCATTTCTTCTTTTTTTTGCAAAACTAAGGTAAAGGGGTTGATTTTATTGTATGTGAATTAAACTTCAATTAAAAATATACTGAATTTTTAAGGAGTTAATGATGACATATTCATACCATGGAATACTGCTCAGCAATAGAAAGTAAGGAATTACTGATACATACACAAGTTGGATGAATCATCAAGGCATTGTGCTAATTGAAAAAAGCTTGTCTCAAGAGGTTCCATGCTGTAAGATTCCATTTATATGGCTTTCTCAGAGACAAAACTGTAAAAAGGAAGACAGATCAGTGGTTTTCAGGGACTAGGAGTGAGTGACTGTAAAGGGATGGTAGGAGAGAGTCTTTTTTAGAAGGTGGGTGACGGGATTGTTCTGTACCTTGCTCATGGAGGGTAGCTGCATGAATCTATACATGTGGTAACATTCATAGCACTTTACCTCAAAAGAAAAAATCAAAATAACTATATGATAATTTATAAAATAAAAATGTTTTAGGTTAAAACACACACACACACACACGCGCACACACACACACACACACACACCCCAAAATGTGGGGATTCTTGGAAGAGCATAGCTCCAAGGTAGAGTTCATAATTTTAGCATTTAAATTTTGATTCTGTACCAGGAGTCAACAAGGTTTTGCTGGTGATTTGAAATTGTAGTCGCATTGTCCTTTTCAACATGGTAACCTTAACCCACTCCATGATTCTCTCAGAAAAAGTCAGGAAGTAATTCCAGAATCTCATCATTACCAGAACACAGTGGCTACACACAGTACTTTCCCTCCCATGTGAATGTGCCAGCCTAGTAGACATTGGTGGATGGTCACGACATACCCGGTAACACCGTTTTACAGTTCATTGTTACAACACACCCCAGGTGCTGGCATGAAGATAACTCAACAGAAGTGAAGAGCCACAGATTCTAGGGCAGTGTCAGATCTAGAAAAGCAATCACAGCACCAGTTCCTTTTCCCACAGTGGCTTAGCAGCTTCACGACTCTCCAAGGTAGAGAGGAAAATCAAGTCAAACGGGCCTTCTTGAAGACAAGGCATGAAATACCAGAGGTCATCTTTGTTCCTGGTTGTGACACTAAACAAGTATTTGCTGATATAAGCTATTACACATTCTCCCCACTTCTTACCTAAGCAGTCAAAAGTTAGCTCTTTTCTTGGAGACGTAGATAGGGCAAAAATCCTACCTAGCATTCTTTTTCTTTTTTTAATTCTATGTATTTATTTTTTAATTGAAGCATGGTTCATTTACAATATTGTGTTAGTTTCAGGTGACAGCAAAGTGATTCAGTTACGTATATATGATTTTTTTCAGATTATTTTCCATTATAGGTTACTACAAGATATTGGATATAGTTCCTGTGTTACACAGTAAATCCTCGTTGCTTATCTATTTTATACATAGTAATGTTTATCTGTTAATCCCATACTCCTAATTTATCCCTCCCCCTTTCCTCTCCCCTTTGGTAACCATAAATTTCTTTTCTATGTCTGTGACTCTGTTTCTGTTTTGTATATAGATTCATCTGTATTATTGTTTAGATTCCACGTAGAAGTGATATCATATGATATTTGTCTTTCTCTGTCTGACTTACTTCACTTAGTATGATACTCTCTAGGTCCATCCATGTTTCTGCAAATGTCATTATTTCATTCTTTTCTTTTCTTTTTTTTTTTTTGCGGCACGCGGGCCTCTCACTGTTGTGGCCTCTCCCGTTGCGGAGCACAGGCTCCAGATGCGCAGGCTCAGCGGCCATGGCTCACGGGACCAGCCACTCCACGGCATGTGGGATCTTCCCGGACCGGGGCATGGACCCGTGTCCCCTGCATCGGCAGGCGGACTCTCAACCACTGCGCCACCAGGGAAGCCCCGATTCTTTTTTTTTTTTAAGATGCCTTTCCTTTTATTTTTTTAAATTTTTAATATTTGTTTATTTATTTACTTATTATTAATTTATTTATTTTGGCTGCGCCGGGTCTTAGTTGCAGCATGCGGGATCTTTAGTTGCAGTATGTGGGCTCTTAGTTGCAGCATGCGGGCTCTTATTTGCAGCAGGCGGGATCTAGTTCCCTGAACAGGAATCAAACCTGGGCCTCCTGCATTGGGAGCATGGAATCTTAACCACTGGACCGCCAGGGAAGTCTCTATTTCATTCCTATTTATGGCTGAGTAATATTCCATTGCATATATGTACCACATCTTCTTTATCCATTCATCTGTTGATGGACACTTAGGTTGCTTCCATGTCTTGGCTATTGTAAATAGTACTGCAATGACTATTGGTATGCATTTATCTTTCTGAATTAGAGTTTTCTCTGGATATCTGCCCAGGAGTGGGATTGCTGGATCATATGGTAACTCTATTCTTAGTTTTTAAAGGAATCTCCATAGTGGCTGTATCAACTTACATTCCCACCAACAGTGTAGGAAGGTTCCCCTTTCTCCACACCCTCTCCAGCATATATTATTTGTAGATTTTTATTCTTTCATAACCTACTTATTTTACACATTTGTCCTAGACTTCATCCCAAATAACCCTAGAAAAAGCCACTTGTTATGGAGCAAAATGGGCCGATGGATTGAATTATCCCTCCACTGAGGAAGAAACTATCCTGAGAAGGCTGCATAAAGTACTTCCTGGTTGAAAGGGCTCTGGCGTCAGCGTCTTGAATTTGAATCCCAACTCTGAAATGTATCAGTTGTGCGACCTTAAGTAAGTAACTAAACTTCTCTGGCCTCAGTTTTCTTAATTATAGGCGCTAAAAGGACTTACTGAACTGGGCATAAGATCAAATGACATAATGCCTATAATGTGTCTAGTACGAGGTTTAATGCATATTCAGGACGTGTGCACCATTTTCACCTGTGAGGTCATTAATGTGACCAGGAAGGGGTAGGAGGTTCCAGGAAGGTGTTTAAATCCCTTTTGCCGCCCAGTTCCTCTACTGTGTTTAGGGTGACCTACCACATTCCCAGTACAACTTGGCCTGCTTCCCTGCTAGGCTGGTTCCTATCCCCTTATGTCCTTTGCTGAGCTGCCAATCAATCTGGGAAACTAATCATCACAGAGATGTTAGTGACTTTATTTGACTTCTCCACTTAGAGAGTGGTGGCTTAAGAAGTGTACTTTAGGCAGGGAGCAGCTGGGGCCAATCAGCAGCCTTCAGGTAATACCTCTTTCCATACAGGTCAGCCCAGCAGCCTGGGCTGTGAGTTGGCCACCCACCTTACACTACCGGCTGGTTGGGTAAGTGGGTGAGGCCATCCTTCTCATGCTCCAGGGTCCTTGTGCACATTGATGACACCCATCTTTCTGCTTCCCTTCCTTTCCTTTCCTTTCCCTCCCAGATCAGAGTGCAGTAGGGCTCATTAAAGCTTTATAGGGATAGTGCCAATAAAGAACTTCAGGAACTGGGCTTGGTCTGGAGAAGACGTATTAGTTAAGATCAACTGTATATGCTCTGGGAGTCTTTAGGTGGCCACTCCTTCCATTGGTGTTTAATATTTATTGCTTCCTCATAATCTTGGAGCTGCTATCTTGCCAGTTTTAGGAAGACTGGGGAAAAAGTCCTCTAAATATTTGTTTTCTACCACATAATATATTTACTCTTTGGCTTGAAATTTTGAGTTTTGTGTTTCTTATATAAATTATGAATAAAAAAATAAATTAAAATCAGTACTGCTTTCCGGCCAAATATAGATTATTGTGCAACAGTATACTATGTATAAGAATATCATAGGAAATTGGAAGGGTTATTCCTAGATGAATTTGACACAACACAATGATAACACAGTAGTAATAATGGAACTATGAATGAAAAAAGAATCCGTAAGTCCCCAGAACCTGTGAACACGATGGTACACAGCAAGGGGGAATTAAGACTGCAGATGGAATAAAGGTTGCCAAGGGGTAAGAAGTGGATTTATGTAGACATATGTTGCCACATCCCTTTCCTATTCAATTGTTCCCTAAAAAAACATATTTCTCTCCTTCACCTGCACATGTACTTTCTATTCTCAGTCCTTCCAAATATGCCATATTCTCTCCCAACCTCAGGGCCTTTGATCATTCTCTCATCTACTGGTTAAGTCCTGTTGTTCCTGAGATCACAATTTCAGGTTGATTCTTTCAGGAAGTCTTCCCTCATTTCCTCCACTATAAGATTACCATAGCAGTACTTCCCTGGTGGCACACTGCTTCAGAATCCTCCTGCCGGGTGGGAGGGAGGGAGACGCAAGCAGAAAGAGGTATGGGAACATATGTATATATATAACTGATTCATTTTGTTGTGAAGCTGAAAGTAACATACCATGGTAAAGCAATTATACTCCAATAAAAATGTTAAAATAAATATATATATATATATATATATATATATATATATATATATATATCAAACTGAAAAAAAAAAGAATCCTGCCAATGCAGGGGTCACGGGTTCGAGCCCTGGTCCGGGAAGATCCCACATGCCACGGAGCAACGAAGCCCGTGCGCCACAGCTACTGAGCCAGCATGCCACAACTACTGAAGCCCACATGCCTAGAGCCTGTGCTCCGCATCAAGAGAAGGCACCGCAATGAGAAGCCCACACACTGCAATGAAGAGTAGCCCCAGCTCGCCACAACTAGGGAAAGCCCGCGCACAGCAACGAAGACCCAATGCAGCCAAAAAAAAAAAAAATAGATTACCATAGCAACCTGTGTGTCTTCATCTTGGTATTTCTCACACTGAGTTGTAGGCTGTTTACCTGCGAGGTTCACCTCCTTCCTCCAAGACTGAGAGCTCTATTAGATAGGGGATATTTCAGTATTTTTCATTATTGTGTCATCAGCACCTAGCACTACCTGGCACAGAGTAGGAACAATACATATCTGTCGAGAAAAGATCTCTCCATCCTATGGCAAAAGCAATAAATATGTAAACTTGGCTGGCTATTGACTCTTTTCCAAATGCCTGAAATCTGAGAGCTCAAAGCAGTTTTTATATCTGAATGCCACATAGCAAAGAAAGGGCTCTCTTTGAAGTTAGTGGGCCCAGAGAGGGTCTGTTATCAATAGACCTACCTCCTACCTGCTGCTGGAGGAATTTGTCACAATTCTGAAGAGTATCGAAGAAGGTACGGTTCCCGGAAAAATCAAACCAGTGATCTTTCCAGAGCCCCTCCTTTTAGGAACCCAGTACAATCCGTCTATTCATCTTTCTGGTAATGATTTTTTTTTTTCCTCCTCAAAGCACTCAATTCATTTTCCATCACTGGCATGTAATCCAGAAATAATAGAGGTCAGCCTAGTATAATTCATATCCGAAAAGGGAAAGTGCCGACACCCTGAAAGAAAAGCTCTGAATTAAGTATTCCCGAAAATAAATCGGGGGATATGAAAAGGCCTGTTCAGTAGATGATGCCTCTTTCTGTTGTTTATTATAAACATGGTTCCCCAATAGAAAGAGTTAACATTTGAAAACACTGCTCTGGGAGTCTTTGTGATTATATCCCAGGATTCAAATCTGAACATTTCTTCTTATTCTATTTTCTAATAAAGCTTTACTCAGAGGTGCTAAAATTTGAACCCTTTTTTTTTTTTTTTTTTGCAGTACGCGGGCCTCTCACTGTTGTGGCCTCTCCCGTTGCGGAGCACAGGCTCCGGACGCGCAGGCTCAGTGGCCATGGCTTACGGGCCTAGCCGCTCCGCGGCATGTGGGACCTTCCCAGACCGGGGCACGAACCCGTGTCCCCTGCATCGGCAGGCGGACTCTCAACCACTGCGCCACCAGGGAAGCCCTGAACCCATTTTTAAAAACCCTAAACTCCCACTGTGTGGTGTGTGTAGTCAAAGCCAATGACCAGAGTCCTGGTGAACATGTAACGTGAGCGAGAAATAAACCTTTTTTTGTTGTTTTAGCCACTGGGATTGGGGGGTTCTTTCTTTCTATAAAAGGAGTGATAATTTCCTGTCAGCCCTTTGAGTTCAAACCTTGTTGAGAAGTGGACACAAGAATTAGACAGTTGGAGAACAAAATACTCAAAGGGCCAGTTTGGAGAATGGAGCGTAGATATTAACCAAAATCGGGTTCCCTAATGGCTTTCCCTCTAGATTGACCCTACCCATCCCAAACTTCAAGGCTCCCCATTCCAAGGCCAGATCCTGACATAGAAAGCTTACCTCATGGAGAAATAGAATGAGAGATTCTTGAGGAGAGGTAGGGCAGAGAAGTAACAATGAAGCACAGGGGCTAAGGTGAGCATGCCCAGTGCCTGCTTCCCATCACCAGTCAGGAAGGCGCCCGTCCGGGGGAAGAGTTCCCATCCTTCCCCTTCCTGAGGCGGAAAAACCCACAGTTGAAATAATGGAATGTTGATCCAGTTAATAAGCACAAGGGCAAAAGCTAAAGAAACTCACAGGGCCGCCTTTCACCTAGTTTTGAAAATGACCAGTATTGTAGACACTAAATTCATGCACTGTGGGCTCTGTCCTGGGAGATAGTGTGCAAGACCATCTATCTTCAGGGAAAGGAGGACCCTGCAGTGTTTCTGGGATTGTGGGAAGCTGGGTCCAAAAAACCCTATCTGGATGATAATAGGTTGATTTGAGCTCTAAGACCACCTCTGAAGGAGAAAAAGTACCAAAGGACAGCCTGGATAGAGAAATGTGAAATAAAAAGAGACAGTCCTATTATTTTGGCTTAGTATAAAGAAAGGGCTCTGGGCCTGATTAGAGGCATATCAGCCTCAGGCATTGTAGAAGCTTTACCCCATTTGCCTTCCTCAACTGATGCTTCTCTCATTTACCAAATGAATGGTGTTTTAGAGCTATGTATTTAAATCTGGGATTTCATTGTGGGTTTGGTTATAGAAGAAGTATGGAATTTAGCTTTAAGTTCGTGGCAAGGAAGTGAATTGCTGAGGAGATGGGACACCAGTTTTAAGCAGGGGGAGACGCATGATGTAATGACACCTTGGAAAAAACAACCAGCTCATCCTATGATTGTCATGTGGGATTTACCAGTTGAGTAACAAACACGTGTTTGACTTCCAAACCAACAAAATGCCTTTGGCCTCTACCAAGTTGTAAAACACACACACATAAAGACACACACACACTCTTAGAGAAAGTCAGGATAATTGAGATTAATGATAGATAATAGATAGATAGATAATAGGGAGGAAGGAAGGAAGAAGGAATGTTTCTTTTAACAGTTTATAAACTATATAACAAATTGAGTCATTTTTGGTCAAATGCCTTTTTTATGTGTAACAGCTAAGAAACCACGAGGTCATCATGTGAAAAGGAAGAGTCTGGCATTACATCTTAAATAGTCATTATCTTCCTTGCATGAATGTAGGGGGAAAAGTTTTCATATTAGTTTATTTTTGTAAAGCAATCTGCCTCAGCTGATCCTAAGACATCACTTGGATGAACTACACAGAAGCTAAGGAACTGCCAAGGTAGGCCTATATCATTACTCTTGCTATTGCAACTCACTCTTTCTTTTGCATAAAGCTTTTCTACTGTTTGTTCATTTCCTTCACAATTTTTTGTTTACTGTGTAGGAGCCTGAATAAAATTCCTGGAAAAGTATACTTAGGACCTATTTTCAGATGGCTGTTCTTTTTTTTTCCTCTGAGGTTCCCCAAACTCAAAACATTAATGTTTCTCATTGCATTGCATATGTTTCTCATGTTTTCTTAAATGTTAGTAGCTGATTATGAATGA